AGCCTTGACCCTAATTCCCTGTCCAACTACCTCCCTATTTCGCTACTGCTGTTTGCCTCCAAGATCCTTGAGGAGTTGTGTATGTGAGATTGACAGACTTCCTTGCATCCAACACTCTGCTTGACCCATTTTAATCTGGATTCCACGCTCATCACTCTGTTGAAACAGCTGTGATCAAACTATCCAATGATCTTATCACTCCAAAATCCCATGGCCAGTACTCTATCCTAATTCTCCTCAACCTTTCTGCTGCTTTTGACACTGTTGCTCATCAACAACTTCTTCTCATCCTTCGTAATCTCGGTCTATGAGATGCCACTCTCTCCTGGTGCTCTTCCTACCTCTCTCAGAACTCTTTCAGTGTTTCTTTCTCTGGCTCTGCCTCTTCTCCCCAACCCCCCTCTGTTGGTGTTCCCCAAGGGTCTGTCCGTGGTCCACTATTGTTTTCAATCTATACTGCCTCCCTTGGTAAACTCCTCAGCTCCTTCAGGTTCCATTATTATTTCAATGCGGATGACACGCATATTTATCTGTCCTCCCCTGATTTCTCCCCACCCCTCTTGACTTGTGTCTCTGACTGCCTCTATGCTTTTTTTCAACTGTATGGCTGCTCATTTCTTTAAACTTAACCTGTCCAATAAACAAAGGGGATAAGCAAGTGCACTGGAGGGACTCCTTCAAGTCATTTTCACATATAACCTTAGAGTTATAGAAAATAACTTAAGTAATGTTTGTGGGTTTTTTTTTCTTTCTTTACACAATTATTTATTTAGTTTTTATCTTTTGGTAAGCTTAATGATAATTCTGGACATTACGGAGAAAAATAATAAAAGTGCGCGTTAATTGCAGAGGTTCGTTAGTGAACCAATATTTTTTGTCTATGACGATTATTGTCCTTTGCTACACCATGCCATTGTGGAAAGGGCTATGATAATGGCATGGTCTGTCAAAGGACGAGAGACTTTTGAGTTTCTTGGTAGGTGTTATGTGTTTGCTTTTAAATTTGTACGTCTAGGCCCCTTCTCACACCGAGGATCCAAGCATGAGATTGAAGTTGATGCTCAATGAGAGAGGAGACTATGAGAGACTCAGGGGTGTTCTCTTAAATGTTATATGTATGTTTGGTATTGTAAAGGTAATGTTCCTATGGGCGAAAGCACAGATGGTGTAAGCAATCATTGTATGTTGGTTCTTTTACTGTATGGTTAGGTTTATGTCTATTAATGTTCAAGGATTGAATTCCCCAAATAAGAAATCCTCGCTTGTAAAGCTTATTAAAAAAAGAAAGGATTGGGAGGGCGGCGCCTGACTTCCAGAGCAGATGGACGCACAGGCTTGGAGCTCCGCAAAATCGTGGCGAGAAACTAGCCTACAACAGCAAATAACACCGGACGAAAACACACCAGTCCACCTCAAGAAGCACCCGGGAGATAGCCGGACACAGAAAATGGGGGAAAAATCCAAGAACGGATCAATGGTGGCGTCGATATTTCGCGCCCGCTCAGAAGGCGGCCTACAATGCACGGGGGAGCACCAGGACTCAGAGTCTGATACAGAAGCTGGCGGGAAGGAAGAGAACACACACGATCAGGCCCCGATTAGCAAAGGGGACCTTAAAACGCTGCTGAGAGACATCAACATAAACATGGCAGCAGAACTAACAAAACATCTGACACCAATAAAGGAAAGCTTAGAAGACCTCACAAAACGCACACTAGCAGTAGAAGATAAGATGGAGGAAATTACAACAACGGCCTCCAGGCAGGACAGAGCACTGCAAGACATGCGTGAACAAATACGCACCCTAGAAGAAACGCAGGAGGACCTCAACAATCGATCACACAGAAATAATATAAGGATCAGAGGCCTACCTGAAACAATCACAGCAGAACTACTCAGCACTAAAAGAAACATTCTGCAGTCTCCTTCCAGAAGCACCCCCCAGCAGAACTGGACAGAGCTCACAGGGCCCTGCGGGCGCCATCCACAAATGCCAATCAGCCATGCAACATTATTATTAGTTTGCACTATTTTCATGTGAAAGAGGCACTAATGAGGGCCGCAAGGGACACCCCACTGCAAATAGAAGGCCACCAGGTCGAGTTCTTTCAAGACCTGGCCCCCAGAACATTACAGAAAAGGAGAGCACTCCGACCGCTAACACTAGCCCTAACGCAACAGAGAATGCAGTATGCATGGGGACACCCTTTTAAATTAATGGTCCGTAAAGAAGACAGAATGTATGTCCTACATGACATCTCGGGAGTACATGACTTCGTGGAGCAACTAGGCCTCCCACACATTGACATGGACCCACGACAGAGATCCCGCGAGGACCAGAATGCGACATCCTCACCAAGAAGAAGACGATTTTCTAGACGAGAACCCTACCAACCATAAAGAACAGACACCAGGACTACCCTGACCCCACGGATGGACTGCACTGACATGAACCCCCTGTTGAACTCACTAGCCTAACTAACCAGCAAACCTGACAACAAGTCTACTCATAAGCCTGGACAGACCCTGGAAAAAGCACAGAAAGCAGATCGCACATACGAGCTTCAATACCAGGGAGAGCGCAAGTATAACCCCCCCAGGCATTAGCTAACGTCCTGCACCCCAACCCCCATGTGATTCCTGAGACACCCCCCTAGATTCCTGAGACACACAAGGCGATCCACACTGCATCCAGAAGGACGTTTAATGCAAAACATTAAGGCTCAAAAACTATAATGAGGGGATGGGGGGGGGGGGAGGGGAGGACCACGAGTATCCCTAGGAAGCCAGTGCTTCTATAAGCCAATGCTCAGTTGGGGGGGGGAATGAAAATGAAAAAATGGAAAAATTGGAAAAATGGCAATACAGAAAGCTGTAATCAACTGAGGTGACTGACAACAAACATAAGTGGAGAGTATAGGGTGCCCGGGCCCCTCCCTCCCCTAGCCCCCCGGGCCTCAGACGAGGGACGTGGGGTGGGAGGACGCGGGGTCCCTGGGCGCAACTGAAAGAACCGACGCAGCACAGATGTAGCCTGGGATGGGTCGGGCGCGGGGGAGATGGCCTTTTGGGCCTCGCAGTCGCGTCGGGATGTATCCTGGGGTGGGCGCATGGCAGCGGGGGTGCCATGCTCCCGACACTACTTGAGACTAGCTCCGGACAGCCCCCACCCCCCTGAGAGAAAAAGGCACAAAATGTGCACGGCCCCTCAAATAGAAAGACATATCCAAAAAAGGACTGGAGAGCAGTCCGGACCCCCGGACCTAACAGACTTGCACACCACGACAAAACGACATGGAGATAAACCCAAATCTCAGCGAAGAAACCCCTGACCGATGGACTCTAGACCTAACGGAGAAGTGACAGAGACGAGAACAGACTGCCCGACACACTACTCGAACACCCTAGCTACCTCAGATAGGCAGAAATGACAACCTCCCTTCCCGGGGATCTGGTACAGGCCCCACGGGGGACAAGCATAAGCATTGGACCCGACAGACTCCTCATAGCTCTGCTCAGACAGCAGTCCGTAATGGGGAATAGGAACTTTGAATAATTGGTGTCTACATAGCACAACTTGAATGTTTACAGGTTATTAAGATATGTCCAAATGTTGAATGTTCAACTTTGTTAAACTACATAATGGTACTACCTAGAGACAGAGACCTGGAAACAACTCAAGAGCTCGGGCCTCGAACGAAGGTTGAAAGGTGGATGATATATTCTCACGGCTAATAAACAGCAGTCATCGCCCGACTGTGGACAACCTCTCAAAAGGTTACTACCTATACTCCCAACCCTCACTGCCCGCTCACTAAAACCACCTCCACCCACACTTGGAGAGGAGCGGTCAGGCGGCAGGACCCACACCTTACTGGCATAGTTTGTAAGCCCAGTAACCCCCACCTTCCCTGCCCAGTGGGTCGGGGCGGAGGGACCCTACCTCCTCCCCCCACTTCCCCCACTCACCCTCACTCCTTACCCCCTCTCGCCTCCCCCTACACCCTACTTTGCCCAAAGGCACACGCTCACCCAAAAGACCAAATACAACGCCAACACCAAAAAGATCAAAATGCCAATATAGATTAAGTGCATGTCGCTCAATACCAAGGGACTCAACTCACCCAGGAAAAGGCACACAGCCGATATACTCATGATTCAGGAAACTCACTTCACAGTACAATAACACTTCCCTCTGACCAACCGCTACTATAAACAGAGTTTCAAGGCAAATTCACCAGACACGAAAACAAAAGGAGTAGCTATTTTACTAAAAACATCCTGCCCACTGACGGACATCACCACGACCTCAGATCCACAAGGCAGGTATGTGACTATCACAAGGAAGATAGGCACTCACAAATACTCCTTTTGTTCCCTATATGCCCCCACTACACCAGACACCAACTTCTGGCAACAATTCTCTACCCACCTCAAGTCACAACCTAATACCCGCCTCATCATAGGGGGAGATTAGATAGGACAACTAGATAGGACAACTAGATAGGACAACTCAAAAGCAAGGACCAAATAAACCATCCAAATGTGACACGCTATTCCAGCAGTTTCTAGCCACAGAGAACCTGATAGACATCTGGAGAGCACAGCACCCCACCACCAAGGACTACACGTTCTATTCCCACCCCCACCAGACTTACTCCCGGCTAGACCACTTTCTAACAACACCCAACACCATATCGCAAATCACCACCTCCACCATAGGTTCAATAACTTGGCTGGACCACGCCGACATATCCCTGACACTGACTATACCCAACCTGATACGACCATGGACATGGAAACTAAAACCCCTACTACTATACAACAGCGAAATAACAAACACAATAGCTAAAGACTTAGCGGACTATTTCAAACTGAACGCCCCATCAACATCCTCCTCAATAACACTCTGGGCGGCCCACAAGACCGTTATCAGAGGAAAACTGATTAGCCTAGCAACGGCAAGAAAGAAAAGACGGGTCCAACGGATCAAGGACACCATGGCGGAAATACACCGCCTGGAAGCCCTACATAAACTAAACCCACAACCCTCCATCCAAATACAACTGACAGCAGCTAGAGAGCTCCTAAAACGAATAACTGCAGAAGATACAGCCAGAGCCCTAATGTGGCTCAAGCAGAAGTACTATGAAAAAAGCAATAAAGCAGACTCGATGCTCGCACGGAAACTGAAACACCGCATCCAATCGAAACAGATTTTGCAGGTCCGCACACCAACCGGACAAACGAGTGACATACCAGAACAGATAGGACAAATTTTCCAGACCTATTACACTGACCTTTAAAACCATGACACCACACAACAATCAACCACACAAAACACTTCCCACCTCATCTCAACTTTCCTAGAAACACTACGACTTCCCACATTAAACCTCGCAACTAGCCAGACACTAGCAGAACAGGTAACGGTCGAAGAAATTACCATAGTATTAAAATCATTTAAACCTAACAAAAGCCTGGGCCCGGACGGCTTTGGAGCTCTATACTATAAAGTACACAGCTCGCACCTACTCAAACACCTGTGCGCAGTCTTCAACGCCATGCTCAGAGGGGACAAGCCATCTATGGACATGGTAATGGCAAATATATGCCTGCTCCCCAAACCAGACAAAGCTCATGACGAACCTGGACACTTCCGCCCCATATCGCTCCTGAACATAGACCTTAAAATTATGACTAAGGTTATGGCCAACAGAATAAACCCACTTCTAAACAGTCTCATACACCCAGACCAAGTTGGGTTTATACCCAATAGACAAGCCGCAGACAACACCAGATGAGCAATAGACCTCATATGGTATGCACGACATAGAAAAATCACCACAGCGATCATATCCCTAGATGTCGAGAAGGCGTCTGATTGCCTCCTATGGCCCTTCCTCACCCACACTCTCACCCACTTCGGCTTCCCACCCGAATTTCAAAACTTCCTAGAAGCAAACCGCAACAACATGCAAGGAGCACTACTACTACCTTACATCAACCCCCCTCAATTTACCATCTCCAATGGAACGAGGCAGGGTTGCCCCCTCTCCCCACTGTTATTTGCCCTCTCATTAGAATCCCTCCTAGAAGCAATACCATCCAGTACAGAAATAAAAGGAATAGAAATCCGAGGACAACCCTACAAAGTATCCGCTTATGCGGACGACGTCCTCCTGACCCTGACTAACCCGACAACGTCCATCGAACACTTACTACACCTAATCCACTCCTTCTCCATGATATCAGGATACAAACTCAACCTAGAAAAATCAGAACTCCTCCCAATATGCATGACAGACAACGCCCTCACACACCTACAGTCAAAGTTCCCCTTATGTTTATGCAAGGCGACCATAGCATACCTAGGCATCAGACTTACGCCAGAAGTCACATCACTATATCAAGAAAATTACACTCCGATGCTAAGAAAAGCACATGCCGATCTCAAAACATGGGACTCCTATGGGATCTCCTGGATGGGACGGGTCGTCTACATTAAAATAAATCTTCTACCCCGATTCTTGTATATTTTTCAGACTCTCCCTATACCATTTCGCAAACCAGACCTCACCTCACTACAATCAGCCATAAACAAATTTATATGGAATGGAAACAAACCTCAAATACATCGAGAAACCCTATATATCCCTAGAAAAGCAGGAGGCCTGGGCCTGCCAAACCTTCAACACTTTCTCTATGCAACTCACCTAGCACAGATCCAAATGTGGCACTTGCCGCCTTCAAAGAAAAGATTGGTGGACATAGAGCACTCCATATTTTGGTGGGACCACCCCTCCCTATATATGTGGCTACCAAGACAGGCACGCCCACTACCCCCCCCCCAACAGCACCCATGATCACACACTCCTTGGACATGTGGGACAAGCTACACACAAAATTCTACCTATCCTCATACCTATCACCCATGACCCCCATCCTCTGAAACAGACTCTTCCCACCAGGAATGGAGGCCAAACACTACGCCCAATTCGAGAAACGGGACATAACAAGAATAGGAAACCTCTTCCTGAATAACCAATTCATTGACTTTCATAACATCCCAGACGCCACAGCCCTCTCAACATTTGATTACTTCAGATACATACAGCTCAGAAACTTCGCCACAACTTCCAGCATACAACAGGCTGGCAAAGCACAATTAACCAGCTTTGAGAGAGACTGTGTCAGGTCACCCGCCAGAAAAGGACAAGTAGCAGACCTATACCACACAACAGCAACACACAACACACAACACACAACTGATACTACCATACATAAAAGCATAGGAAACAGACCTGGGACCCCCAGAGGAGCCAACAGACTGGGCAGACATCTGGGAAGCAGCCTCCTCCCTTACTATTTGTGTAACACACAAAGAACAAGCGTATAAAATGCTTTTACGATGGTATCTAACACCTCAGAGACTAGCCATCATTCATAGCACACACACAACATTATGCTGGAAACAATGTGGAGAAGAAGGGACGTTTTACCACTGCTGGTGGACATGCCCTAAACTAAAACCCACCTGGCAAGCCATCACCTCACTTCTCACTAGAATCCTATCCAAACCTTGCCAGCTCGACCCCTGGGCCCTCCTGCTATCCAAAGCACTAGAAACACACACTAGAAACAAAAACAAACTGATAGCCAGAGTAGCCCTCGCTACCCGCAGGGCAATGGGTGAGGTGTGGGCCACTACACGGATGCCTACGCAGAATACAATTGCCAAAAAAATAGAGCATAGAAATGGACAGATTAACAGCGCAAATACATAAAACACCTAAAACCTTCCACAAAATATGGGACCCATGGCAGGAAGGAGACACGACTCAACCATGGTAACCAACCAAATCACACCCAACTCTAACACCAGTCATGCTAGAGACCCAGACACTTAAAAGAAGAGAAGAAATCTGTCCCCCTTTATCTCCCTCTCTCCCTCTATCTACCCTTCCCTCCCACTGCCCCAGCCCCGACCTACCGGGAACTCAACCCACCCAACTACCCATCCCCAAACCACACTAATGGACCGCAGAGCCTAAACATTTGTTCTTACCTATGTGTTACCCTTGTTGTTGTTATTGTTATTGACCTTAACCCCTTAAGGACTGGACTGTTTTTGCGATGTTGTACATTTGCGACCAGGCATATTTTTACACTTTTGTGGTGTTTGTGTTTGGCTGTAATTTTCCGCTCTCTCATTTACTGTTCCCATACAAATTATATATTGTTATTTTCAGGACAAAAGGGGCTTTCTTTACATACAATTATTTATATAATCTCTTGTATTTTAATTTTAAAAAATAAAAAATATGATGAAAAATTTAAAAAAATACATGTTTTTTTACTTTTACTTGAAAAATCTTTTACTCATCTAAAATGCTAAATAGATTCAAAATTTTGTCCTGAGTTTAAAAATACCCAGTGTTTACGTGCTTTTTTTTGCATGTTATAGGGCTATAGGTACAAGTAGGATATTGCGGTTTCAAAACATACATTTTTAAAATTTATCAATAGTGACATTGTAACACCATTATCTGTCATAAATCTCTGAATAACACCCCACATGTACATATTTTTTTTAAAGTAGACAACCCAGGGTATTCAATATGGGGTATGTCCAGTCTTTTTTAGTAGCCAATTAGTCGAAAACACTGGCCAAAGTAAGCATTCATATTTGTTTGTGTGTGAAAAAAGTAAAAAAAAATAAATTGAACGCTAATTTTGGCCAGTGTTTGTGACTAAGTGGTTACTAAAAAAGACTAGACATACCCCATTTGCAATACCTTGGGTTGTCTTCTTTTGCAAATGGTATGCCATCATGGGGGTAATTCTCATTCCTGGGCTACCATACGCTCTCAAAGGCAACGTAACCAACCTGGCCATTTTCAATGTAAAAATATTTGACCCATATATTTGACCCTGTAACTTTCAAAAATACTATAAAACCTGTACATGGGAGGTACTGTTTTACTCGGGAGACATCGCTGAACACAAATATTAGTGTTTAAAAACTGGAAAACGTATCACAACAATTATATCATCAGTAAAAGTGCTGTTTGCGTGTAAAGAAAATGCAAAAAAAGTCACTTTCACTGACAATATCCTATCTGTTCTGGTATGTCACTCGTTTGTCCGGTTGGTGTGCGGACCTGCAAAATCTGTTTCGATTGGATGCAGTGTTCCAGTTTCCGTGCGAGCATCGAGTCTGCTTTATGCTTTTTTCAAAGTACTTCTGCTTGAGCCACATTAGGGCTCTGGCTGTATCTTCTGCAGTTATTCGTTTTAGGAGCTCTCTAACTGCTGTCAGTTGTATTTGGATGGAGGGTTGTGGGTTTAGTTTATGTAGGGCTTCCAGGCGGTGTATTTCCGCCATGGTGTCTGTGATCTGTTGGACCCGTCTTTTCATTCTTGCCGTTGCTAGGCTAATCAGTTTTCCTCTGATAACGGCCTTGTGGGCCGCCCAGAGTGTTATTGAGGAGGATGTTGATGGGGCGTTCAGTTTGAAATAGTCCGCTAAGTCTTTAGCTATTGTGATATGTTTTACTGTTTTGAATCACTAATATTTGTGTTCAGCGAAGTCTCCTGAGTAAAACAGTAACCCCCATTTACAGGTTTTAGGGTGTCGTAGAACGTTACAGGGTATAATACAGTGCTAGCAAATTAAATTCTCTGGACTTTCGGCCTGGGTTGGCAGGCAGGTCCCTCAAATTGCAATCAATAAAATTACTTAATTATGTAAAAATATTACATAAATACGCACGTAGAATTTAAATATATATACATATTTATATATTTGAAGTCTACGTGTATATTTATATAATTATTTATGTAATTTTGTATATGGACATATGTATATTTTGTATTATTTTTATTTATTTATATATACATAGATATATATACAAATTCATTCTAAGTGTATTTTGATAAAAATATATATATATTAATTTTAAAATACAGTTAGAATAAAATTTCATATAGATATATTTTTTTCAATTTTTATTATTATTTTAAAAATTAATTTAATTTAAATTACTTATTTATATTTTAGAATAATATATATATACAATATATATATTTATTATATATATTATATCTATACGAGTGTAATTTAATTATAAATGTATTTTTATATTAATATAAGTACATATTAATATAAAAATACACTTAGTATGACATTATATATATGATATATATGATATATAGACATATATTATATATATATATATATCTCATATATATATATATATACACAAAATATAATTAATTTTAATTTTTATAAACACTAACTTTA